ACTCTAATGGGATATTGTGCAGCTCCCCAGGGAGAAGGGTGGGTGATCACACCAACCCTTCAAGTGGATACAGAGCAGAAGGCTGAACAGTTTCCTTGGGTCCAGTAATGGGAATTATGGATCAAACCCAGCTATGGCTCTAAGACCCTCCCTGCCTCCTGCCTCTGGCTCAAGCATGCCCAGATTCCAGCAGAAAACCACTTCCATTCTTGCTCTTTGCTGGCTCCTGCCAGGAGGGGGAACCTGGTTCCTGCCTTCTGCTGCAGGCAGCCCGCAGCAGGATCTGCTGGGGCTGGTTCCTGCTCTGCAGCCCTGAGACTGGTTGCAGAAACTGCCTCCGAGGAGCCTCTGTTGCTTTCCAAGTGCCTGCTGCTAGAGAGGGGACGAAAGTCCTAAAAGGAGGTGGGGAGAAATGGGAAACTGGGGGATACCATGTTAGTGCTGGGAGGTCGCTGCTGAAATGGTGATGCCATGAGGGCCGTCAGGCACTTACCACCATGCGGTTGAGGGACACCCAACAATCGTCAGGGAAGTCCTGCAGCATAGGCACGAGGAACTGGAGGCAGCCATCCCAGTGACACAGCAGCAGCATCATCCCAATCAGGTTCACAATCCGCACCACTGCACTGGCCAGATCGTAGGTCATGTGGAAGATCTGCAGAGGCCAACAGGGAGCAGATTAAATGGCAGCTCCCCAAACAACCAACCCAACATAATTAGATGCAGTATCAGGGTCAAGAACCTTGCTAAAGTAACAGAAAAGGCTGCACCAGCTCAGGTCAGTCACAGGATGTAAGCAGAACCAGCAGAAAAACAGATTAAAAAACAAAATACAAAACCATAATCATTCACCCCTCTTGCCTTTTGATTTCGCCTTCTAATTTACATTAAAAGCTCTGTAACTCATTTTATAAAATAATTTGGTTGCAAATATTTCTGGAACATCAGCCACTCCTCAGAAATCAACTCTATCATTACATCTTTTTAACTGCAATGCCCTTCTTTGATTTCCGCTCTTGCTGAGTACATGCCACGCACTGACCCATGGTGGAAGCTGTCTTTGTACTGGGCGTCAGACGTGGTCTCTGCAAGTATCAAATGCAAGAAAGAACGGCCTCAAACTCAGCAGCAGCTTCTAGAAGAGGATCAGAGTCAACTATTTTCTGGTATTTCTTGTATTCTGCTCCTCTATCACTTCCAGTCTTATGTGAAGGGGTGCAAGGAAAAGAGAAACATGGCAGAGCTGTATAGCAGTTTTTAGCAAGGAAGCCCAGAAACCTGTAAAATGGCAACTGGAACCACATTTCTGCAGTCAGTGCTCTAAAGCAAAGGGAGCCTATGGCCGTGTTGTCCATATATTAGCCATAAACAGGAGACACTGAGAAATCCAGATGCCCTATTATCAAAAACTGTGAATGCAGTCAAGACTTACTTGATTGACACTATTTTTTTCTTACCAGTGGTGTGTTATGGGGACACTGGAGGTGTTTGGCTTTTTGTCCCACTTTGTGGTGACAGCAAGACACACAGGGCACGCCAGCGACTGCTATCCTGAACTACCTATCTGCCCAGGTTTGGTTTTCCCTACTGTACAACATGCCACAGTGAGGAGAGATGGGTCTGGAAAGCGTGGCTGGCCCTGTTTGGCTCAGCACAGAGCCCACCTTCTGGCCTCGTTTGCCAACAATGCAGTTCATGAAGAGAGGAGACCTTCAGCCTGTCACTGGGCAATGGTTTGGACCCAATAAGGACGGCACCCTTAGTCCTCACAGGGTGTCAGCTTCCAGCTAAAGAAGCCAGCTGCATCATAGGATCTGGATCTTGAGGTTCCTGCCAAACACGCAGTGTGGTCCACACTATACAACCCCAGCAACATTCAGAGTAGAAGAAGACAATGCTGTTGGGTCACACTGATCAATGCAGTAGTGGACCCTTAGGTTCTCCTCTGAGCTGCAGAATCTGATGGTTAAATACACACTGCTGTAGGCAAGAACAGCCTCTCCAATGAAACTGGCTTGCTGGGATGCAAAGAGGAGACAGCTTGTGCTCCCACCATGAGGGACATCCTTTCACTCCAACATTACCCTGAAAACAGACTCTGAACACATCTGACATCCTCTCCCACGTGCTGTGGTGTTGCCACAGTAATTTGTGGGATGGATGGAGGCCATGCCCCAGCCCTGTCAATGTGTCCTGCCCAAGAGCCTTGTCTGGAGAAACGTTAATCACTGCTCCCCATACACAGTCTTGCTGTTTCTGGTAGAGGAGGAGTGAAATATTTGGACATCTGTGTGTGAATGAAGCAGAGAGACTCACTGCTGTCAGCTACCGCAGCTGGGCTTTCTCAGGAGGCCTCCCCATGGTTTGAAGGCACAAGCAGCCTGGCTGTTTTGCAGCCCAGCTCGCAATCTGGTGACCCAATGTCCTAGTTGGATTTAATGGAAGGGAACAAAACGCAGAGGAATGTGAAGAGCAAAGAAGACTACTGTGAATCAGATCAGGCTGCGCATCCCATCTCCATTCCTGCCTTTCCACCCTGAGCTGTAGGATGGT